TTCTCTCTTCTCCATCTCCCGCAGAGCTTCTCCAGGACAGATCGGCTGCTTCGACACAAACGAATGTGCCAGGGCTGCCAGCCCAAAACCCCTGACTCGCAGCTGCTGCTTTAGGAGCCAGGGCGATGCGTCGGAGAAGCTAGGCCGTGGACAGGATTTTCAGTTTTCTGGGTCTAGTTTTGCCTGCTCCTGCTCCCCCGGCCAAGGGGGGACAGAGCTGAGGACTCTCCTAGACTCTCGGATGGGGTCCTGACACTGTAAATAAGATGAGGATGATCTGGAATCTCTACTCAACCAGCAGAAGCCACGGGCAGCTGTGTATAAACCTTCTTTTCCATTGGTTTGTTTTTGAAGTATCACCATTTGCCTCTCAGGAAAGGCTTCGGGGGACAACAGGGCAAAGCTAGCTACACTCACCTCAAACTCTTAACACTTGCCATCACCTGATCGACCAGCTCCCGCCCAGGTAGAGCTCACAGGTATGAAATATAGCGGGGTGGAAATCAACCGTGTTGTTCTTTTGACTCTTTTTGTTAACTAGTCTCACCGGAAGAGACCAACAAAGCAGTGGATTGTAAGAGGCAGCTGTGGAGGATTTTGGTTCAGGCGTGAAATGCAGGAACTCATCTCAGCCGAGAGCTTGGTTATGAGGTCTGCGGAGCTTTTATTTCTAGGGCGTCTGATTTTGTAACCGAGTTTCCTCCTGCTCTTTCCACCTCAAGAAACGAGCGGGGACGTTGGAGGGGGAGGGAGGAGAGCGCACTGTTGGAGGGGGGGAGGGGAGCGGTTGCGGGGACTCAGTTGAAACTCTTGTGACACCCAGCAGCTGGTGCGATCGGTGTCCTATGAAATGGTGTTGTGTGAGCTGCTGCTGTATACGTCGCCTGGGTGAACCCGCATGGCATTGTCTGGACGTGGCTCTTAGCAACACCCAAACCCCTGATGACAGGCAGTGCTTCGGGGTATACAGCCCATGGCTGTGGGGACAGCCAGAGGCTGCCCTCCTTCCTTGGCCCCAGTGTGTGTGTATGTGAGGATGCTTGGGGTGATCCCATTACGGCACGTCCCTGTTCCCCCTGGAATTCAGATCCTAGTCTGGTTCATGGCGGCAGCCGCACATAATCTGGCTTTCTCAGAAATGCTCTTGCCTCAAACGCTGCCGGGTTTGGGTCACGCTCGGGAAGGCTTTCAGTTGCTTTGTAGTTTGGGATAAGATCCACCCCTTTGTGTTTGACCCCGAGGGCCAGCCAGGGCTGGATCTTTGCAGTGTCTGTTCTGGATTTGGGGGGAATTTAACCCACTCTCGGATTTCATTTCCATTAAATCGGTGCCCTGTCTACTTGGGGGTGGAAACCACTTAAATTTACTGTGATCTTCTCTCTGGCAACTCTCCCGTGGCCTAGGAGCAACTGCGCAGTTCAGGGGGAGCTAGAAACAGCTCAAGGGACCTGTAGGGAAAGGCAGTTAAACTTCCTCCTGTGGAAGAAACCGAAACCATGGGCATGAGGGAGGGGGTGAGGCTCCCCAGCCACTCTCAGGAGCCCTGATTGTTGCAGGCCAGAAAAAGACTGTTACCAAAGCGTCGACTCTGCCTCCCCAAATCCCCCTCTTGGCTCCCAACGCTCGGTCATGCCCTGCCTCTGAAAACTCAGGCCCAGCTAGTGCCAGCTAAAGATCAGACCGTTCCCGGCTGGGAACAAATGTGTAGGGAAGGAAGAGACTGTTCATGTCGGCGCATTGGCTCCCACTCCCCTTGCAGCGACAGCAGTATATTGGATACTTCCTGCTCAGTGCTCTTCTGAGAGCCCCACCCAGATGTCCCTGGTTGCGTAGCCTAGGTCCAGCTTGGCTTCTAGCTGTCTAGCTGAGCTTGGTCTCTGTGCACAGCAGCTGGCATCACTGCAGCTCAGGATCTCCTGTTTCTGCTCCAAGATGTCACTCGGTGTCCTGGTAATTGTTCTGGGGCAGGGGGGAGCAGGGCACAGGGGAAGGTTACACAGGGCAGCGCGAATCTGGACTCGGCTTTCTGAGCATCAGTGACACTGGAGCAAAGCGCCCTTGGGAAATGACCTCAATGCTCTTTAAAATGTCAGTGGCTCTGTCACTTAGTTCAAATCATGCAGCCCCCCGTTGCCCTCCGTGTAGCGAGCTACGTACCGAAATAAAATCCTTTCTGGAGCAGCTTCTCCCAGCAGCAGAGCACACGCCGCATTGGTGCAGCCTGGCCTTGTCCGGCGAAGGTAGATACTGCCGACGTTTAGCTTAGGCCAGCAGGGACGCTGCTAACGTTAGCAAGGTGATCTTCTGTCTCTCTTTATCTCGCTGCTATATTCCTTTGGGTCTCCAGGTTCCTTCAGACTCCCTTCCCCCACGGGTGCTGCTACTTATCCTCTTCTCTTCTTTCTCCACCCCCTCCCCCTCCACCCCCCCAAAATCCAAGCTAGAAACCCATTCCGATTTCCATCTTGGATTTTTTTTTTTCCCTTCATCCATATATCTCTGAGAGACACTCTGCCAGGGGAGATTTACAACGCATCCTGCTGCCAGATTCTGCTCTGCCTTCCCCCGGCCCTCAAAGATGGGACTGAAAGCCAGTTTGCAAAGAGAACAGAGTTCTGTGTCTCATCCACAGCCCCCCGCACAGGACGGGGCAGCCTGGCTTGGCCTGACACATCCTTGGTTGGTTCTTTTGTAGAATTTCGACAGCAGCGTGCTCTCTGCACCTGCATGCTGGATACACCGGTATGAATGCTTTACTCGAGCGGTGCCCTTCATCCAAATCTCTCCCCGGCAGAGTACCGCATCTGCATATGCACTGCGGTCTCCTTTGGGGAACGGCTAGAGTAGAACCTGGTAGCGTGAATTGTCTTTCCCAGGTGCCAAACACTACCCTTCCCGCTGAATCCATCGCGAGCTGAGAGTTCAGGGCACCTGAGCTCCTTAGACCCTGAAATCACAATGGTCCAACTTCCTGCTTGCCTCTAACACGCTTTATTGCTGCAGAGATTTGGAAGAGGTTAAATGGGCATCCTCCGCCTCTTGGCCTGCCCACGCTGTCAGACAAACGCAGGCTGCGCTTGTAACCGCACAGGATGGAAGAGCGGTGTGTTCGTTGCGACGCTACGTGATCAGCTCCTGCTGCCTGTTAGAGGCCAAGGCTCCTCTTTTGAGACCTTTTCGGTGCCATTTGCGTGATTCTCTGCCAGGCCCCTGCAGCCTCAACTTAGAGGTGTTTCTTTTCAGTCTCCCTGCCCAAGAAAATCACACCCTGTTGTACGTCTGGAGCTTCTGGATGTTGTCTGGAATCATAGTCTCCTCAAGGAAGCGCTGAAAGCCCCGTTGATTCTGTCACTCAGAATCGCACTAGGCAAAGTGTCTGTGGCTCTGTTGTGGGAAGCAATGGGACGGGTGACTGGCTAGCTTCTCAGCTGGGAGTTCCATGTTGCCAGCGCCTGGGTTGGCATAGCAGGGAAGGAGATGTGCAGGACGCACAGGCTCCACCACAGGCTCATGGCCTAACCTGTCCTAGGCTGGAGAGAGGACGGCTGTTTGAATGATGCTGGGCCTTGCAACCTGGCAGTGGGGCGTAAGGTCGAGGGAGTGTTGTATGGAAGCAGCTTGTGATTACCATTCTAGCTGGTCCCATCGGATCAAAGCCGATTGAGAAGGAGAGACAAGTCACTTTTGCACGAGTCTTTCCCTGCTCTCTCTCTTTCACCGATGATGGAATTTAAAGGAACTCTCATCTTTTTTTTCCTGCCCCTCAGAGAAGCGAAGACTCTTTCTACCTTTTGACCCTCTTTATTTGGTAAAAGGAGATTCCCTGCCTCCCACGCCCCCATGTTGTGGTGAAGGGAGCTGAAACCAGCAGTGACATGCAGCTTTATCTAGTCCCTTATCATGTCAAAACATCAGCATCGCTGATAATCAGCACAGCTGTGGGACTAGTATCTGACTCCTGCGGAGAGTTGGCCTGTCGTTCTGTTGGGCCCCCAGAAATCCTAGCTAAAAGCTACCTCGTTGACTGTGACTCACGTTTGTAGAACTGGCTTTCATGGGTGGGGTCAACACTGAAAGCCTGGAGGTGGCGTCATGTTAACGTGAAGTACCTTGGCCTGGAGAATGTCACCAGAAAAGCCTTTAATCCTAGACTTAAGATTCTCTTCCGAACAGGCCTGATCTGCTGTCCAGCCCTGGCTCCTTGTGCCCCGTGGCAATAATGGCTGAAATGGGATGTCCCGTTGTGTGTTTGGTGTCACTATTTATTCTCCTGTCCCCACCCAACGAGTAAGGCAATCGACTGGAAGTCAGAAGGTCATGGGTTCTAGTCCCAGCTCTGACAAAGTACTGCTCAGTATCTGTGTTCTCCCTGCGCTAATTATCCTGACTCGCTTTTGCAGAGAGAAGTATGAAGTTTTACTATTGGAACACGAATCTTCTGTGTAAAACTGCTGACGGTGGATCCTGGGGCGTTGGCTGTGACGTGAACATTGGTTGGCAGCCTGTTACAATCTGGCAGTACTTCTGCCCAGCACAAGGGGGCAGTACAAGCTATCCTGTAGGACTACTGGCAAAAGGGTGTTGGCAAACGGTTGGTTCGGTTAAACCAGAGGCTGGTTTGGAGGACAAACTAACTCACTCTCGGTTTTGAACTTTCATAGCGGATGGAACACCTGTGGTCTGGAGCAGAGACCCCTAAATTATGGGTGGGAACCTCGCTGCTCAGAACATCTGAGGGCCTGAAGCTGCCTGGGTTCAGTGCTGCAGAGTTTTGATGCGTGTGTGATCTGTGTGGCTGGGGGTTTTTCTCAAAAGCTGTTTTTTTGGCCTGGTGGTGAGGCACTACTGCAGAGCTGCTGGTGTCACTGCTGATACAGACAGTCCTTTTCCTTGAGTAGCTGATGCGTGCACACCGTGTGCTATACAAAGGGTTCATCTGTCTAGCTGACGCTGCAGGTTGCCTGTAGCTGGAGCTGTCTTGAAGCCTGAAAGTCAAATTGTTTGCAGCTGGTGCTGCCTTTTTCTAAACCATCTCGGCAGAGGTATTTCGATTCCCGGTAAAACATACAAGTCTGGGGCTAAGAGGCTTATTGGATTCACGTACGGCTCGTGCTCTGCAAACCCCCTCCGCTGATGCATGGGAAAAGTGTTCAATTTTATATCTAGAAATTAGTGACTTACGATGATTTGAACACTTTTTTTATTTTTAAATGCTCTTGTGTAACCTGTCATGACCTTCCAAAGTGAATTAAGATGAATCGAATTAAGGCCGCTTGAATTCTGAATAAGAGCATTCACACAGGGATTTAATGCAGTTTAACTAATTTGCTATAAATTCACACCTTTAATGGGGATTCATTTTCCTTAGTGTCCCCTTATACACAAGCCCTTGAGGAGCTATACCCAGGGATAAAGAGTAATATTGACAGAGATGTTTCAGGACTCTGAGTTTATTCTTCTGCCTAGCTGGTTTGCAGCCGAAATCACATGAGAAAGGTGGGGGCAGTGAAACTGACAAGGAACACAACTGAAACTGACTAGAAACAAGTTTCCCTGTCTGAGCTGGGTGCAAAAGGGCAATCTGGCTAGCACCAGCGCTCCAAAATACATCTTCTGAAAATGTGTCAGTTCTAGTAACACACGCAGGACGATGTTTAAAATTGGCTTTTAACTTGCTGTAGCAAAGAGGTGCGTCAGCACCTCATCTGTGCTGGGGAGTGTTAGTTAAAACAATACAACCCTCCAGTGTAAAGATGTTGTTCTGGTGCAATTAGGGGCTTTCCCTGCTTTCAAGCTAGGGTAAACCATGCTCTTGCAAGCCCCTTACTGTACGGCATGGCTGCACCAGTGTGACTGCACCACTGTAATGCAGCTATCCCCAGCCCCTCCATGGCTGAAAAGCAGATGAGTAGCGGCGTCAGGCTGGCTGGTTCTCTGGAGTGGGGTGCAAATGGGCACTTCGTTTCCTTGTGCACCCATGCAAAGCTAATTTTTTCCTGTAGCCTCCGTATCCACATGAGCCCACGTCTGGTGGGGGGGAGGGGACAGTGTCTGACTGTGTGTTTCAGAGATGGGACCCTGCTCTCTAGTGTGCATGCATAACAAGCTCCCCAGACTCCGGTCTGATTTGTGCTCCGCTGTCTTCTCAGGTGAGGCCTGGAACGGCCCAGGGAAGAGGCTAGCTGTAGCGCTGTATTAATGTGCATCATTAGACCTTGATCATGCCATTTCCCAGCTCCAGCCAGGATAATTTCCTTTCCCACTTTTTGAGCATTAAAAATCATCCAGCCAGAAAACCACATGCCAGAATACACCCCTCGCTGCAGCCGGGCATGAGCCCCTGAAGGCCAGGGATTGGAAACCATGTTGCCGGCTAAGTGTGAGAGATTATACACACGCACACCTGCCTGCCCTTGAGTCAAGGAGTGTGTGAACAAGAAGGGGGATGGCTGCCCAGGTGCCCTTCACAGGCAGAAGGAACTCAGTCACACTGTGGCGTGACACTGATCCCTGAAGGCAGGCGGGAAGTGGCCCCCTGTTGTCCCAGAACTACTGTTTTGACAGATGGACCAAGAACTCTCCTGTGTTAGTGAATCCGAGCTGAGTGATATCTGGAAAGTCCCATGGCTTATTTGTCTTTTTTTTTTTTAAATATACTTATTTTGCGATTGGGGGTGGGGGTGGGGGGAGCGTGTGTTACTGAGGAGATAAATGAGAATCACTTTTAAACTGTAGTTTTTATAAGATGTTATAAACTTGTATCTTTTTACCATTAGTGTGGTGTCTGTTCCTTTGTGACCTATTTAGAGTATTTAAATAAAATCTTGTGGTTTTTTTTTCTTTTCTAAACTCTACTCTGCTTCTTATCTTAGTTCACTCTAGGGTCTCGGATCCTGGCCTGAGCAGCAGTGCAGAAAAAAAAAAAAGCCCGTATAGCATACGGTTAAGGTTTATGAAAAAGGGGAGTAGTGGTTTTTGGGAACTTTGACTCTTTTGAGGGCCCTTGCTTTGAGAGAGCAAATAGTCCATGCGCTGGACATCCGACCCCGTGTTGGATGCCTGCAATCACTAATCATGCTAGAAAATGTTGTCGCAAATGGGCTCCTTGGTGTTACCATAACACAGCTAACAACTAACACAATCTTGGCCTCTAAGCGTCAGCAAGCCAAGAACTTCTCCCAAGTAGCTAAAGGGTCAAACATCTGCGGTCACCATGGTAACTATGGATTTTAATTAACCCATGGAACTTTCTGTCACAAGATGCGGCGGAGGATTTTTAGCTTCCTTTTAAAAAGGGTCAGGGTCAGTTAATGTGAATACTAATTGTGGTTACAGGAGCTCGGACGGTTGATAGTGCGTACCAGCCCTCCTCGGGGGTTAGGACATGAGGTGCGTGGCTGGGGATTAGAAGACAGTGGCTGGTTCTTTGGCATGTCGTTGACTAGTTATCTATGAGAGGGTCTGACATGTCCTCCGGGGGCCGTAATTACTACCAGTCAGGAGCATTGGTGTAATGCACTGTGGCAATTTGTGTGTTTAATCGTCACCTTGCGTTTGTCAGCGGTGTAACAGGATGTGGCCATAGGTGCTGTTTGTGACTGGGTGGCGTTGCCCGTTGATTCTCTCTGACTGCCGGCTCTGCAAGGGGAAAGTTTTGCTCCCTGATTTCCACCACTGCAGCCTCTGTCCCATGGAGCCCTCCCTGCCCCCCTGCTGACAGGGCTTCTGAGCTGGGCCCTTTGCTCTCCCATGGGCTGTGGAGCAGCAGCTGGGGCTGGCTCGCCTGGCGCTGTGTGGTTCCCCTACCACCACCCTTTGTGGGAGTTGACGCTTGTTTATGTCAGGAAAGCAGACGCGGTTGCAGGGAGGTTCTGCTTTTGAGCATGGGAAGCTGCCAAAATGAGGAAATACACACAACATCCTTCCAGATTTCTCTTATCACCAAACCCCACATGGACACCCCTCTAGGGCTGGGAACGATCCCACACCTGTTCATTTCAAGCCCAGGGCCCCGTTAGCTGCACACAGGTACCAGTTTTCCTGGCACTAACCCAGCTTCCCCGCTCCTAGCCTGGGGAGAGAGGTTTTTCTACTACTGCGCTTAAGCCAGTGGGCCTGAACCTTTAGCTTCAAGCAGGCTAGAGGCACTAGGGCTTAGTTCAGTCCTTGCGCTCAGGGGAAGGGGGTGATTGCTGCAGGTGCAGGAGATGTGGAGTAGCCCTAGGTCTCTCCTCCGAAAGGACAGCCGGTGAGAGCACAGGGCAGGGGCCTGGGGAGAGGTGGGCTGGTTGCCTCGTACACAGGGGGTGTAAGGGTGTGAGCAACTAATTCTCAAGCGTGACCCCCCCCCCCGCCCACTTCCTTGCAACCACTAACAAACAGCTAATTAGCAAGGAAGGGAGCAAGTATTCCTCCTGCCCACAGGCCCGCCCACACTTTGCCCAGACTCTTTTTGTGTGTGAAAACACTGGCTTCAGTTAGTGATGTAGGGGGGAGAGAGAGGCTTGACCTGCTTTATGCCCGGGCCAAATGCATCCCTGCGAATTTCCCCCAGCCTGCCTGTATTTTGCTCCCTTCATTGTATCTTCCTGGGTCTGCGAGGAAACGAAGCATCAGGGGCAGCGACAATAAAACATCACGCAAGAGTTGAGCCGGCTGCTCCCCCAGCCCTTTATTCTGCTCTGTATTCACCCAGCAAAGTGGGGGAGGCAGTGCCTTGTCTGGGGGGGGGGGGACATTATTTGAGAGCCTCGAAGGTGCGGGTGGTGATAAAGAGGAGAGGCTCCTAGCAGTTGTTAAGCAGCCGGTTCACAGTGGGGTTTTACTGGCTTTGTGCTGGCAGGAGGGACTACGCAGTAGTCTCTTCTGGTGCTGAATGGCCCTGCTCCATTTACCACCCCTGCCCTGCCCCGCCCCGCCCCGCCCCCGTGGTTGCCATGAGTTTCCCCTGGCTCTACTCTGCCCTACAGTGCCCTGGAGAGAAGCCCCCCAAAAGTGGAGCTTTGGTGCTCCGTAGCCCGGCCCTTCCTGCTAGTCTCTGACCCCAGAGCTCTCCTGCTGGGCGTGGGCAGCAGCTTGTGCTCTCCTGGCGCTGGGGGTCGCTGACTGATGCGCTGCGGGGGGCAGAGAAGCAGCAGGCTCCGGGACTTAGTGCTGCGAGGGGAGGACAGGGTGGGGCTACTTAAGCAGGGAGGCTTCGGGCTGGGAAGAGCCCCAGGGCTGCATCCTGCTCCTCCAGTAAGAAGTGGGCGCGCCTGGCAGCACAAGCAGGCACGTCCCCGTGGGCCTATTTGGCAGCGGGTAGCAGTGTGGGATTCCGCCGAGCAGCGGGCCCTCTGCCTGCGCCTTCCCTTCCAGGAGAGTTGGGGGGGGGGCTGCCGTAGCGAGCGTGGCACCGGGGGCCCGTGCCGTTGGTAGCTGGGCTGGCGCCGGGGCGGCCATCCATGCTGCCTCAGTCCTCGTTGTACCTGGGGTTGACGACGGTGGTGGTGGCACTCTGGAACAGTGGGTTGTTGACCTGGGAGGGCAGAGAGGTTGCTGGAATCAAAGGGGAGGCGGGGGGGCCTCAGGGAACCTGGGGTCTGTTCCCGCTGACCTAGGACAAGTAGCTGTATCTGGGGCTGCTGAGGGGCCTGGTCCAGAGAGGAGGAGACTGTCCCGCTCCAGCATGATCTCAGCCAGCAGCGAACCGGGCCGGGCGCTGGAACGTCCTCACCCACCCCGGCATGAGACGCAGGGAATACAGGCTGCAGCACATAGGGAAGGAGGTAGGGAGCCTTCGGGCCCGGGGAAGCCGTCCAGTTCAGTCGGAGTGCAGGGACTGGATGGCTGCGGCGTGAGGGAGCTCGCTGGCTCCCATCTGGTCCCAAGCCTCAGCCCACTTCCTCCGACAGGCCCTGTGTCAGTAACTGGCAGTGGCCAAGGGCTGAACGGGCCAGGCAAGGGGGAAAGCCTGAGCGGGGAGGGAAGGGGGAGCAGACAGCAAGGGTGGGGCCCTGACCTCGTTCCCCTTGGCCCGCTCCCGCTCCTTCTCGAAGCGCATGTACTCCCGCCGGTCCAGGATCTCCACGGAGATGCGGTAGGCGATGATGACCAGCAGCCCGATGACCACGATACCCAGGACCGAGCCCAGCACGATCATGGAGGTCTGGTCAGTGACAGCTACGAGGAGGGGAGGAAGAGCCCGGGCCTGAGTGAAGCCTGCAGCAGCACCCCCCAACCCCACCCCGGCAGCCCGCACAGCTGCACCCCCCACCCCCACCCCCAGCTCTGGGGATGCGTCTCAGGATTCTGGGGAGGTTACCTGCAGGGCTAACTCCCCTCTCCCTGGTCTCACTGCCCCCCCTGCCGACCGCTTGGCCTCCCCCTTTCTGGCCCACACTGGGCCTCTCTCTCCCTGCTGCTCACCCTTCCTGGGACATAGTGCCCAGCCCCTAGCCTGCCCCATGTCACCCCCTCTACCCAAGCCCCCACCCAACCCCAACTGGTACTCATTGTCCCTGGCTCCCCCCGCCCCCAAGCGCTCACCGTCCTTGTCTTTCACCTTCAGGGCAACTTTGCCCCCCTCCGTGCCCTCAATCAGGAAGATCAGGATCCGCTCGTCGTCCGTCTTCTCCTTGCACCACTGCTCGTTCACGGTGGCCTCGGGCACCACTGTGGCCACGGTGTGGTTGCAGGCGATGCTGCAGTTCTGGCTCAGCGGGCCCATCCTGAAGGCCTGGCAGTCGGCACAGTCCCTGCCAGTGAGACGGCTGCAGTCAGCCTCCGGGGTCCCCCCTGCTTGCACTGCCCTGTCCTGTCCACCATCCCGAGCCGGCCCCTCCCACATACACACCCCGTCTGCTCCCAGCCCCTGCC